CATGTAGCACATATATACCATGGAGCTACTCTCTCAAGCCACACTTATACTAGCAGGTCAGGACCCCAGAACGAGGTTATTGCTTCCTCCTCCCTCAGGATTCTAGGCGTACCCCTATGGGATTGTGGGCTTCTCTAATGTTATTTCTCACCAACCTTCATTCAATCTATGCTCCCAAAATTATTAAACCAGTTAACATCTCCCAAATATCATCTAACCATTACTTAGCACCTATTATAATTTTGACCAGTTGATATTTAATCAATATCATTGAAAATAAAGATAATTTAGTTTTACAGGGGTATATTTGTTAAAGGATACAGCAAGAATCAAAATACAAAAGCATTTCTGGAACCAGGACACAATCTCTTTTACCACCTTAGTCCCTGGAGTTCACTGGGTTCAAACTTAAAGTGGTAGCTAAGAAGCATTCATTCTATCAAGTTCACTATTGAGTTTGCCATGGCCAATAGACAAGTTGTTCCCTTGCTTTCAGGACATTATATCTCAGCTTCTTGATTAATCCACTGATGGGTTGCTTCAAGCAGGTTCCTCTCAAGAGCTAGGCTTTTGTGTACACTGGACACTCTGCTATGCATGACCATTTCTGGACAGCTAGTGGCTATTCCAACCTTTTAAAGTTCTCAAGTTCATTCCATCTCTGCTACTCATTTATCTAGTATTAGGAAGAATAAAAACAAAAAGACAGAAGAAACTATCATGCACTATCACATAGTTCCTAAAGCAGGCTTCCCAAGCTTCTATGTGGGTTGGCATCAGGCAGAAAAGATTGTACATCATCAAAGGACTGGGCCCCTGTTGGCCAATACCCTGTTATATGGATAATAAAGTTGGAAAAATAGGTTGGAACTGGAATCTCATCTATTGAACTAGGATAAACTTAGTATAAAAATGTTTCAGGACCTGGCAGTAGACTTTCATAGGACCGAGGCTCTGTCAAATTATTTTGTTGTATACCTTCCCTGTCTTGTCCCCTTTTGGAGGTTCCAGCTGCTCCCCTTAGTTGGAAGAGTGGGTACTTTTCTAGCATCCTTCCTTTGTTGTCAGTGGGACAAATTTCCTTTGCCCAAATAAAATTCTCATGTTATATAAATGTCAATTACTGCTATGTTAACAGTATTTGACTCCTCCAAATAGATCTCCCTTACATATGGTAAGATGATTTAAGATTCCTTGATAGATTAAACAACAGAGATAATTTTATTCAATGATCCTCTGGCATCAATATCAAGCAAGGAACAAAACATGCAGACACATTCACCAAAGGTGTTTTCCACAGTTATGGAGAATGTCCCATGCATCCAGGCATGGTAGAACATGCATATAATCCCTGGAACCAGCTGAGACTGGTGGATCATTTGAGTAGAGGAGTTCTGGGTTGCAGTAGGGCTTAAGCATATCAGGCATCCTAACTAAGTAAGGCATCAATTGGTCCCAGAAAGGGGCTTTACATTCCTAGTGCCTGGAACATTGACATTAAGGAAGCACTTAACAAAGGCTTCTTGAATTGAATCAAATTAAATCTTTCAGTTCCATCTGATACTACCTGGCTATATGAAAATATTCTTCATGACTAAGTAGGGTGCTTATGATCATAAAGTTGTGAGTTTGTTTCAACACAGAGCAAGTAACTCAGATAAAAGCTTTTTTGGACACTCCCATATACAACAACACTAAAAGAACATTTTTCAAGGACAAAAGAAGCATCATGGTGTTTAGCTTTTTTTTTTTTTAAATCAACACCATAGTTAAACTTTTTATTGTGTGGGGTATTTTTTTTGGCTCATTTAACCAAGAAGGATGTGGTGATGAGAAGGAACCTGACCTTGATACAGAAAGGAAAGTATTTGAAAGTATTGGAATGAGTGAAGTGTGTGCAAAATTCTAGTGTAAAAATTCAAATAATAGTGATGAATGAAAAATAAAAGATATTCAAGATTTATTTCTGATTATTTATATTACATATATATGGATATTTATATAAATCCTCCTCTTTAATTTGAATGATTCCATTTGGAACTTTAGAAAGAAAGTGACCCAAAAAAATCAATATTCTGTCACCAAAAAATCCTACTGCTAATAATATAATCCAAGAAACCAAAGATAGGAAAAAATGTCTTTTATACACCAAAATGTTTATATCAATACTTTCTTTGTAGTAGTAAATAACTAGAAACAAAGTAGATGCCTACTGAATGGGAAATGGCAAAAAAAAAAAAAAGCAGTTGTACTACATGAATATAATGGAATATTACCGTGCTATAAGAAATGCTGAACATTAAGAATATAGAGAAGCATGGGAAGACAAATGAACTGATGTCAATTACGCTAAGCAGGAACAGTAAAATGATATACACAATGACTACCACAATGTAATTGGACAGAGAAAAAAAATATTATATAATTATATTACCAAGTTTGGCTCCAAAGGAGAGATATGAGAATGCACTTTCTCCTATTTGCAGATGTGAAGACTATGAGTGTGGTATATTACATATACTATCAAAGTCAGCTACTGTGTAAATTTTGCTGAATGATTTTTTTAAAATTATTATTAGAGATAGTTCTATGGATGGAAGAGGGAAAGAGGGAAGAAAAGTGATATTAAAAATAAAATATACCCCAAAAATTACATACATATGTATGCATACATATATATGTGACTATACATTTGTGTATGTATGTGTGAGAGAGAGACAGAGACAGAGAGAGACAGAGAGAGAGCATACCCGGGTGTGCTAATGACTCCTCAATACAGTCTAATGATAAGATCCTTGGTGGTTCCCATGAGAAAAGAGAAGAAATCTAGATTACCACAGTGGAAGAAAAAGTTCCTGAGGCTCAATCCTAAACTGTCTAGAGATTCGTAATTTGGACACCTAGAGATGCAAAATGTTCTGCCTTTGAGTTGTTGACAACCTTTGAAGGACCAATGAGTTACTAGGGTGACATAAAGAAAATGAATCATCAGATGCTAATATGTAGTGAGAAAGTAGTATGGTATTAAAAACTGCAATGTACTTGAATTCAGAAAACTGTGGTTCAGGACCTGGATATGTCTTTGAATTTCAGGGTCCTCATCTGTAAAATAGGGTTAATAACTAAAGATTTTTTTATGCAGAAAGTATAATATTAATGTGAGCTTTCATTTTGAGTACCTAAAACAGTGCTCAATTGCACGGTGCTACTTAGACGCTTCTGATATCTTTGTGATTTGATTTATATAAACATGTTACATCAATGACCTGTGATTTTATTAGTATAGGAACACCTTTCAACTACACATAGATCATAGCCGATAGATCTATAACTTAGAGAATCTTAGGAAGCTGGGCTGACTAAGACTCAGGGACATTAGGTGGATTGCCCATGGTCATATAGCTAGTTGGTGTCAGAAGTGGGACTTGAATTCAGATCCACTATAGACTATACCATGCTGCCCATGTCTCTCTGATAACATAAATTTAGGTTAACAAGAGAAATGTTTTGCATATATGAATTTGCTGATTTTATTTATATTCCCATGCTTTATTTTGTTTTTGTCACTGGGAAATCTAAAAATCAAAATATCATATGTATTTGTGTATCCTTGCTTGTACTTATAACTGTCTGATTCTGTCTCTAGTACCATGCTTTGCTCATAGTAGTCACTAAATATATATTCATTTCATTTAATTGAAGTTTTCTATTAATATTAAGAGTTATATAGTGCTTGTCATATGCCAGACACTGTACTCAGAACTTTACAAATATATTTTATTTGATCTTTACAACAACCCTGGGAAAGAGGTGATATTATTATCCCCATTTTACAGATGAGGAAACTGAGGCAAATAAAGGTTGTGACTTGCCCAGGATTATACAGATATTAAGTGTCTAAGGCTAGATTTAGACTCAGCTCTTCCTCACTCCAAACCCAGAGCTCTATCCACTGAGCCACCTAACTGCCTTTATGTTTTTTTGTCACAAGTAGTAGAAATTGCCAGTCTTATAAGAAAACTCATTACTGTCTATTACAAGTTGTCATGTATGGATGCCTATTCAACATTCATTCAACAAACATTTCTTAAACTCATTGTATTCTTGGACTATAGTAATTCTTTTTTTTTTTTTGCCTTTTTGGTGAGGCTATCAGGGTTAAGTGACTTGCCCAGGGTCACACAGCTTGTAAGTATCATGTGTCTGAGGCTAGATTTGAACTCAGGTCCTCCTGACTCCAAAGCAAGAGCTCTATCCACTGCACCACCTAGTTCCCCCGACTATAGTTATTCTTAATGGTCCCTCATTTCCTTCCTTAATGGAATCCTTGGAAAATAGGGCTATCTTATTTAGAAGGATTGCTTCATGCCAGAACTTGTTTTGAAATGCCAATGTTGACTTTCTCACAAGACTCAGGCCTCCTCCACACCATGAGAACAATTCCAGGATAGATCCAGGAATTGTAATGGTGATGTTGAAAGGTTTGGCACTTTGTTCCATGTTCTTTATACTACCCATTTGTCTAGATGTTGCTTAGCTCTATCACTCCCCCTCTAAGCCGACACTATAATTTTCAGATAATGAGTAATGACTTGTGCAATCAAGGTCATTTCCTTTTTTATAAATCATAAAAATAATTAAGAAAAATCGTTAGCATTTTATTTACAAATGAAATTAGTACATTGCATGACAGAGCAGTTTTTCTCCTTATAATCCAGTCTGTCAACATCTACTAGCGTCTTTAATATACCTGTGAAAGAGAACATTTTTATCATCGTGTGTCTTCTTTCAGTTCATATTGCATAGACTGAACATCAGTGTTTGGAACAAGAATCAGATTACAGAAATGGACTCCTCCTTAGTGGGTGGGACTCTCAAACTGGTCTTATTTTTTTTTTCTCACCATGTCATTGGGACGTCCTGAACATACAAACTAGTTCAACCCAAAGAGCAGCCCTCTTTTTCTTTATCAAGCTCCTGCAGTCCTCATGGCTCTTAGTATGCCACTGTCTTTTGATACCAACATGAGGTTCAAATTCCCATTTGTGGCTATATGTTTGCAGCTTTCCATGATCATTTTATTTGGACTTTTTGTTGGCTATGAAAATAAGTGGCAATATGTCCAGAAGAATAACAGCTCCAGTAAGCCTGACAGATTCCTTGAGCTATATCCTTGTGAGTATGCCATTCCTTATGAGTCGTGGGTATTCTTCATTTCTCTATTATGGGACATTGGTGTTCTCCAATTCTCTCCCTTTGACTTGCTTCAGACTCTTAAGATTCTCTTCTGGGTTCTTTCCAGAATTTAGAAAAAGTACTGGTTTTCCCCATTTTCATGTTTTTGCTGTTGCATATAATCTCATCTATATGAGCATAACACAAATAGATAGAAGCTGTCTATAAGTTAGAGGACATGGTTTCAAATCTCACTGCTGTTACTTACTACCCATGCGACCTTGAGCAAGTGCCTTAACCTCTCTAGTCCTCAATTTCTTCATTTACAGAATAAGGAGCTTGAAGTAGATGAACATAAGGTCTCTCCCACTTCTATGATACTGTGACCACCACCGTAATACACTGTGCCAATCATTTTAAGATCACAGATTTAACACAAGAAGACATTTGAGAGGCTTAGTCCTGTTCCCCCATTTTACAGATGAGAAAACTGAGGTGTAGAGAGATCAGACAACTTGTCCAAAGTCCCACAGGTAGAAAGTGGCAATAATGGTATTTGAAAACAGGTCCTCTGATTTCCAAGTAGGTAATCTTTCCAATGTACTATATCTCCTTAATGATGCAAAACAATCTCTTTGATTGCTTGGTTTTGTTTTGCTTTGTTATGATGAATTAGCTGAATTGACCAGAGAGTTCAGAACTGTATAGCTAGATACAAAACACTTGGGGTCAGTCGATCATTAAGCATTTGTTAAGTACCTTCAATGTGCCAGGCACTGTACTAAGTGCGAATGATAAAAAATAAAAATTAAAAAAAAAAGATGCAGAACACAGACTCTGCCCTTGAGGAGCTCACAATCTAATGGGGGTGGTGAGGAGAAACAGGAAGCAAACAAATACACAAATATATTTTAAAATGATGGGAGAGGGAGACTATGCTCCATAGTCCCTGGGAGAGGGGAGGGGAGGGGGAAGTGGTCCTAAAAGCTAGGAAGTAAGGATTACTGTGAAATTCATGGGGTAGCTCAAAGAGTAAGAGGTATAAAAATGTTCTATTGCCTTAATTAGAAAACACTGTTCACTCTCTTATCATTTTCCAACACTTTTCCTATGGCTCACTTATTAAAAGAGTTCTATATATCATAGAAACTCTGAAAAGGACTTGCAAGGATACTGTCTTGAACATCATTGTGTCTTCCACATACTCTAACATAATACCTTGAGCACAATAGGTACTCAATGAGTATGAGCTGAAAGAATGAATGAATGAATGCAAGTAATGTCAGAGCTAGAATTCAAACTTAAGTCTGAATAAATCTGGAAGAAATTTAAGAGAAGGCAAAAATGAAAAGGTATTGTGAAAGTAAACTTCCTGTAATCCATAATGGAAATGTCTTTTTTATATTTAAAACAAGTCAGTGAGGTAGGAGTACACTGCACTGCTCAGTAATAACTGAAGCTCTTGAATGTTAGTTAATCAGATTTTAATTTCTCTGACCAGAAGCCTCCTGGAATGTTTTAATGAAGCATCTTGCATTACTCCATAGTAAACCATCATGTTGATTAAAGAATGATGTTGATATACGTAGAGAAGGAAGAAGAGAATAAGCACCTATATAACACCTACTATGTGTCAGGGTTTGTACTAATTAAGTTTTACAAATATTATCTCATTTGGGACAGCACACTAGATAAAGTACCAGACCTGGAGTCAGAAAGACTTGAATTCAAATCCAGCCTCAGACACTTGCCAGTTATATGACCTTGGACAAATCACTTAGCTTCTGTTTGCCTCAGTTTGCTCATCTGTAAAATGGGGATAAACACGGCACCTACCTCCTAGGGTTGTTATGAAGATCAAATAAGATAAGTTTAGTGCCTGGTAAGAGCTATGTAAGTGATTGCTATTATTAGATCCTCTTAGAAAGAAATTAAGATCTTCCTTAATAGAAACTAAGATTCAAACATAGGATCACTGGAACATAGATTTAGACCTGGAAGGAATCTTAAAGGTCATCTAGTCCAGAGATGTCAAACGCAAAGCCCTCACCATTCTTGAGTGTGACTCTGTTGCTGTTCATTTCAGCTGTGTCCGACTCTTAGTGACCCCATTTGGGGTTTTCTTGGCAGAGATACTAGAGTGTTTTGCCATTTCCTTTTCCCCGGTGACCCTAACTGGATTACAATGAAATTGGGAAACATTTTAAAAAATAAATAAAAATACAATAAAAGAGATAATATTTTAATATATGGTTTTCTAAGTCAATATGCAGCCCACAGGTCCTTATGCATATCTTAGTGCAGGGGTTCCCAAACTCATTTGGCCTACTTCTCCCTTTAAAAAAAATTACTCAGCACCCCCTGGAAATCTACTTTCTTTAATCTTTTAGTGTTTTTTTTAAAAATTGCATCATTTCAAAGAATATACTTTTTTTTTAAATGATGCATCTTAAATTTAATATATACATATATATATTAAGGAAGATATTAATTTCTTTCTATATAGTATTGTATAATACCAACATATTTTATGTTTTAATACCATAACAATTTAGACTTCTTCTCTGTACAAAGGGAAGACCAAAAAATTTTATGCAGATTTTCCAGACGGGTTGTCTCATACCTAATCCCCACCCCCATGTGGAAGGGATAACTGTAATAGCACCTAAATCAAAGGGTAGTTGTGAGGCTCAAATGAAAAAGCCTATGTAAAGCACTTTGACAACCTTAAAGTGCTATATAAATGCTTGCTATAGTGCTTACCATTTATCCAACCTGAGCAAAATAGGTTAAATTTATCTTTGACTTATCTGACTCCCAAAGTACACTCATTCCTTCTTTTGCCCCCTCATTTTCTTTCTTCCTAAACCAACTGTATCCTTTGTTCCTTACCAAAGGGCAATATCTATCCACTGGTGGCCAACTATCATAATAAGATATTGGACTACATGATCTTTTCAAGCCCTAACTCAACAAGTTAACCATGTATTGAGCTCCTACTGTGCATAGGATACCCAAACTCTCCATGGTTTTAATCTCTTCCAAATTGTTAGGTTATTTAAAAGAGAAAAACAAAAGGAATGAGCACCCACTAAAAGTGAGATCCCACCTAGTGTTACTTGCTTTTTTAATAAACAACTAAAAAAATGAAGTTACAATAGTGGAATGGCAGGCAATGAGACTGATATTTGGGGAGATATAGGGACATGTTTGATAGGTCTGTTTGATAGGAAACTACCTGTTCTTGCTATTTATAAGGCCATGATTGCTCCTCTAGGTGAGTTTTTCAATCTGTCCTCAGTGTTCTAAGTATGTGCCCTTCTGGGTCAATGATTTAAGTCTTTCAATAAGGCCTTCCTAAATGAGACAAGATAAGGCTTTTGAGCTTATGCTTTTAAATGCTCAAATGAGATTAGTGTCCTGGGTTACTCTGAGTAACTTGTTTAATTCACACAGTGCCCATAGACCCTTGGGCTGTTCAGAAAAGGAGCACAACTCTAAATACCTGAAGAGTAGATAGCAACTGTGTCAGCTTGATGGATTTTGGGGACTCTGACCCAAGTGCAGATTTTAATGAACTGAGTCTTTATTCTTGCCTAGGAACAACCTGCTGCCAACCACCCCTTGGGAGGCTACTAGGGAAGTCAAGAAGTGTTCAACTCCAGGGAAAGGAAGAGTTCTTTAAGTGATCAAAGAAAATTCTCTGGTCTTTAGAAATAGAAGGAGTCATTAGTTAGTATTGTTTTTGCTGGATACATTACCAAACTGCCCTAGGGGTAAGGATTATGGACATACTTATGTTGACATGAATGGTCCCTTGGTGGTAAAACTGTTAACTTGAGTGGTGGCTCTGCCCTAGGCCTTAGAGGCATATTTATTTATTGGGTTTTAAAAATTGTGCCCACTGCAAAAATGGCCTCAAGGTATAAGGTCAGTAAAAATAGAACTGACCAAAATGAGAAAAATACATTAATAAACATTCAATTATTATGTATTTGAATCATAAAGATGAAAAGAACTTTAGAGATATGACATCCTAATGTTATGGATGAAGAAATTAAGACACAGAGAGGTTAATCAACATTTTCAAGGTCATAGAATTACTGGTAACAGAATAAGGACTTAAACCCAGGTTACCTGGCTCAGTTGGGTGTTGTTTTGTTTTGTTTTCTATTATACTGCACAATCAATCCTGCATCTCCAACCACTTACTGAACATCTCAAAAGGGATGTACAGTAGATATATTAAAATCAACATGTCCAAAGCTGAACTCGTTATCCTTCCTTAAACCCTCCCTTAAATCTACCTTCACTATTGCTGTAGAGGGCAACACCATCCTCCCATTCCCTCAGGCTCAAAACCTAGATGCCATCCTCAACTCCTCACTATGTTTTACTCCCCATATTCAATCCATTGCCAAGGATTGTAGATTTCACCTGTACATCTCTCAAAAATATCCCCTTCTCTTCTCTAACACTGCCACTGCTCTGGTGCAGGCCTCTGACCTGGACTATCATAACAGCCTTCCGGTGGGTCTGTCTGCTTCAGGTCTCTACCCGTTTTAATCCATCCTCTAGTACCCAAAGTGATTTTCCTCAACTGCAAGTCCAACCAAGTCATACCCCCCTATTCAATAAATTCCAGTGACTCCCTATAGTTTCCAGGATCAAATACAATATATGTGTGTGTATGCACGTACGTATGTGTATATTTGTATATGTGTGTGTGTGCCTATGTGTATATATAGACATATATATAAACACACACATATGTGTGTATATGAAATAACCTAGTCCCCCTCTTACCTCTCCAGTCTTCTTATACTTTACCTCCCAACACATAGTCTTTAATCCAGTGTTAATGGCCTCCTGGCTGTTCCACAAACAAGACATTTCCTCTCCTGACTCTGGCCATTTTCTCTGAGTACATCCCATATAGTCTCTCTACTCATCTCTGCCTCTTGGCTTCCTTTAAGCCGCAACTAAAATCCCATCTTCTATAAGAAGCTTTTACCAACCCCTCTTCATTCCAGTACCTTTCCTCTTCTAAATATTTCCTTTTCATCCTGTATGTAGTTCGTCTGTACATATTTGTTTTCTTGTCTCCCTGTTTAGATTGTGAACTCCTTGAGGGGAGCAACTGTCTCCTACTTCTTTTTGTATCCCCAGTGCTTAGTACAGTGCCTGGCACATAGTAGGAATTTAATAAAGTTTTATTGATTTACTGACTGACTGCACCTAGCAAAGAGAGGCACCAGAATATGTTTGAATTGAACTCCTCCCTGAAAGCAGAAATATGAATAAACTGACCTCACAGTGCTCCTTCTAACTTCAGAATCCTATCTTCAAACAGGATTTTAAAGCAAAGGGCATGATGCTCTTTTGGTATTATTTGGATTAGTCTACCCTTAAGGTTCCTTCCAATTCTAAATGTCAGTAACTCTGTGATCTTCACTAAGCATAAAATGAGAGGAATGGAAAAAAATGGTTTTAAGAACTTCTTCACAATGAAATTTAATATTTTAACCACTCACAAAAAGAGTTTTAGAATCTAGTCAAAGTAATTTAAGTGAAATCCTACTCAAAAGTTGGGGAGCAGCCTAACTCATCTCCCAGCAAAGCTATAACTAAAGTGATTCAATTGGAGTATTGTCCCAGGACACTGAAATTTAACACGTGCTGATAAATTACACTTATACACCTTCTGCAATACTGACACAGCATGAATTTAACTTCCACTTCACAAGAAAAATCAATTAAGGGGCAGCTAGGTGGTGCAGTGGATAGAGTACTGGCCCTGGAATCAGGAGGACCTGAGTTCAAATCTGGCCTTAGACACGTAACACTCACTAACTGTGTGACTCTGGGCAAGTCACTTAACCCCAACTGCCTCACAAAAAAAAAAATCAATTAAAATAGGAAACTTTATGCTGCAAGTGAGCTTTCCCTTGACCCCTTATTTAGTACCCTTCCCTAATGTATTCTTGGGTCTTTACCCATAGAATGAATGTCCTAGGTCTTTATACTCCCACAAGGAAACATTATAGGAGTGCCCTTCCCCATACCTTCCCACCTCTAAATTGAATTTCACTGTATGCCAAAATTGCTAATTATGATTCTCCCTCTAGATGTCCCATCAAGACTTAATTTTTCAGGATGCACAGTGAATAATTTGTCATTAGAGCACAGAAGAGAAGGAGATATTTAGTGGCAGGAGGAAGGAAAAAAGGAAACAAGAATTTATCGTGCCCATTATATGCCAGGAGCTTTACAAATATTATCTAGTTTAATCCTCACCTAGTTTAATCCTTCCCATCCTGGGAAGTAGGTACTATTATGTCCATTTTACAGTCAAGGAAAAGACAGACAGAAAGGAAGTGACTTGACCAAAACCACATAGATATTGTTTGAAGTTTGACCTGAACTCAAGTATTTCTGATTCCAGACCCACCGTTCTTTCTGTTGTGCCACCTAGCTGCCTCTGACAGTCTGTTCTAACTACATCTGCAAAGATACACACACACACACACACAAGAATGTGTGTATAAATATATGTACATGTATATTTTATACATATACACATGTTTTAATTGGGGTATATATATATATACACACATATATACATGTATATACATTTACTCTGTACATATAGAGAGAGAGTATATAGTACACAGAGGTCAAAGTAACAGAGGGTAGTCTCAAGACCACCACAAAAAGGAATTCTCTTCCCCTCACCTGTCCCTGCAACTGCAACCAAGACCTGGGAGACTTGCCTTAGTTGTGACTGGAATCTGAGGGATGTTTCTCTAACAGAAGGGTTTCTCCATGCTCTTCCCCAGTGTTCCAGAACATCCACGTGATGACCTTCCTGGGGTTTGGCTTCCTCATGACCTTCTTGAAGAAATATGGCTTCAGTAGTGTGGGCATCAACCTGCTGATTGCTGCGCTGGGTCTGCAGTGGGGCACCCTCATACGGGGGATATTACATCACCGCCAGAAATTTTACATTGGCATCAAAAAGTAAACATAACTCTTTGTCATCTTATGATGTTAGATGATAGTGTGTTTTACATGGGACACTGAAAAGAGTACTGGAATAGGAGGAAATCAACTTGGGTTCTGACATTATGGTTTGTTAAGAAAGACATTTCTCCTCTCTGGGCCTCAGTTTATGCACTAGTAAAATGTGAGAAGGTATTGAGATTGCCCCAATTATTAGTACTTCCCTTAGAAATTATTTTCTCTTCCTTTTGTAATTATATTATATACTTCTCTGTCTGCTTGTTGTATCACCTCAGTAATTGTAATCTACTTGAGGACAGGGATCTCCTTGGTTTTTGTCTTTGTTGCTCCAGAGCCTGTCTAGCACAGTGCCTAGAACAAAGTAAAACTGTTTAATGGGTGCCTGATGAATTGCATTGAATTGTTTCTAAGGTCTTTCCCAGTTCTGGAATTCTATAAGTCTATGATTCTAGATTCTGATTGATTTATATATCATTTAGTCTCTGAACTGGTTACCTTATGTTCTTCACCAATATGGAAGGGTCATTAGAAATCTTTTCACCCCCATATTTTGCAGAGAAGTGAATTTAAGGAGGTGATGGGATCTGTCTGGTCATACAACAAAGCCAAGGTTATAATCTCTTAGTCCAACATTCTTTATATTGAAGGTCATTGCTTTCTGACAATACAGGACATTGTTTTATTCTGATGGGCAGATGCAGTCTTACATGTTGTAAGCAAATTTTCTTTCAGGAGTGTAATTTGAGGGGTAACAAAATGTATCACTGCCCCAAAAATATCCCATAAACTCTACCACCGCATATGAAATTCACATATTAGATACATCTTTGGGTTTAAGCACTGAAGTCTCCAGTTAAATGCAAATATGTTGTCTTCCTGGGTTTCTATACTACATCTTTATATACCATTAAAATCTCAGAGGAGAATTCATTCATCAGATTAATAGTGACTAGACGTAGACTCTGTGGGAGGGGAACACAGAACAGAGAGACAGTGGAAGGTAGCGAAGTACACTAGATTGGGAAAAAATTGGGTTCCAGTTCAAGTTATTGTTGTTTTTTCTGCCACTAATGTAACTGTGTGACTTTGGAAAAATAACAATTTCTCTGAGCTTCATAGGACCATAGGTTTAGAGCTGGAAGGGACCTTAGAGATCATCTAATCTAACACTCTCATTTTATAGATAAGGAAACTGAGGCCCAGAAACATGAAGTGACTCATCTAGCGTCATACAGGTAGTCAATGGCAGAATCAGGATTCCTCTCCCTGCAAACCTAGTATTCTTTCTACTATACATATTGCAGCTTCCTCAGTTGTAAAATGAGATATTAGATTAGATGTTCTCTTTGGTACCTTTCAATTCAAATATTTTATGAAATTAGACAAGACATTTGTTTGTTTTATTGGGGTATCAGGAAATTCAAAGCATGGGGAGTTTTGGGGGAGGGCTACTCTGAGTGAGTTCTAGATGACAGATCAGTAGAAGGAGGAGGATTCCATTATGTCCCTTCCCTGCTTTAACTTTCTTTTCCTTTCTTTTTTCTTCCTTTTCTCTTTCTTTCCTTTCTTTGTCTATTTGTTTGTTTGTCTATTTATTTGCTTATTTATTCATTATTTGTTTGTTCTCTCCAGCATGATAAATGCAGACTTCAGTACAGCCACAGTTTTGATTTCCTTTGGAGCTGTCCTAGGGAAAATAAGCCCAGTCCAGATGCTAATCATGACAACCTTAGAAATCCCTGTCTTTGCAGCCAATGAATATCTTGTTGGTGAGATACTGAAGGTGAGTCTTGGGAGGTCTCATATATAGAGGAAGTTCATACAATCTCAACTGGAAGATCATCTAGTCCAGGTGTAAAGAACCTTCGGCCTCAAGGCCACATGTGACCCTTTCAGTCCTCAAGTGCAGCCCTTTGACTGAATCCAAACTTCACAGAAATATCCTTAATAAAAGAATTTGTTCTGTAAAACTTGGACTCAGTCACAAGGCAGCATCCAAGGACCTAGAGGGTCACATCTGAGGCCACAGGTTCCCCACCCCAGATCATAAGTCATCTAGTCCAACCCATGAATTGAATAGAAATCTCTTCTACAACTTCACTGTCAATGGGTCATCCAGATTCTGTTTAAAGACCTCCAAGTGAGCAAGACCCCATTGCTTCCCAAAGCAGTCTATAGAATTTTTAGATAATTAGATAGTTCCCAACTCTCACCTTTGGGGCCAAATTGAACTAATTTTTCTAGTCAGGGAAGGTTGGCCCTCTCTGTCAGTAGATCAATAGTAGCTGGAGTATGTTTTTATACAAAGATTGTTTTCCTCCTTACAGGCTACTGATATTGGGGCATCAATGACCATTCATGCCTTTGGAGCTTATTTTGGCTTAGCAGTAGCAGGTGTCTTATATCGACCAGGTCTCAGGAGAAGAAGGCATGACAATGAGAAGTCTGTGTACCACTCAGATTTGTTTGCTATGATTGGTAAGTAGACATCAACTTTGCCCAGTTCCACCTTGCCTCAGGGAGAGAAACCGACAATGTCTAGAGTCATTGTTAATGTGGTAGTACCATTCAGATAATTCCAGTGTAGTTCAGTGACTCTTTACCTGGGGTGTATGAATTTGTTTAAAAATGTATGTGTGTATGTTTATTTCAATATGATTGGTTTTCTTTGTAACAATATGTTCTATTTTATGTATTTAAGAATATAATTCTCAGAAGAGATACATAGCTTTATCTTTACTGACATAAGGATGTGGACACACAAAAAGGTTAAGAAGACCTGCACTAAGTGAAAAAGACTGGCCTTTTCAGTGCGATTATAATTACATAACTCACCAATTATAATCATTATATTTATTCATTCATTCAACAAAAATATACTAAATACCAAAATAGGGGCAGCTAGGTGGCTCAGTGGATAGCGCACCAGGCCTGGAGTCAGGAAGACCTGAGTTCAAATCTGGCCTCAGACATTGACACTCCCAGCTGTGTGACCCTGGGCAAGTCACTTAACCCCAATTGCCTTGCAGAAAGAAAAAGAAATGCCAGAGTGGTGTAAAGAGCACTAGATGTTGACCTCAGAGGTCCTAAGTATAAATTCTAGCTCTGCTCCTTATCACCCAAATTTCCCTAAGTCAAGTCACATTGCCTTTTTGTACCTCAATTTCCTCAACTGTAAAATTAGGAGTTTGGATCAGGTGGCCTCTGAGGCCCCCTCTAGCTTCAGATATATGAACCTATGAGCCTATGAAGGAGTTAGAAGAGGCAATATGGTGCAATGAAAAGCATACTAACCTTGTATTCTCAAGATCTGGGTTCAAATGCTAGCTCTGACACTAAACAGCTACGTGACCATGACAAGTCACACTCACTGCGACCTTCAGATTCCTCCTTAATAAAATTAGGAGATTCATTTAGATAATCCCTAAATATCTCTTTCAACTCTAGTGTCTGTAATACTAAGATCCAATTTAAGTACAATGTGTGAAATTAGGTACCAAAAGAGATACAAAGACAGATTTTTTTTAAAAAATCTCAGCTTCCAAGGATCTTACAATAGGGAAGATATGACTTCACAAATAAACATTATACCACTTGGGATATGAATGCTTTAAAAAGAGAACAAGTGTACCCCACATAGCACTGTCTCAACAATTGCCATTTCGAAACAGCGTCATTAAAACATTAATCAACACAGTGTTATGGATAGAGCATGACATCAAGATACTTTACCTCTCAGTGCCCTTAAATAGTCTCTGAGTACTATAAATAGAGTAAGTCTCTGAGACTATAAATTTCAAAGAAGTTACTCATCTGCTCTGCTTGAGGAAGTTTCCTTACCCAAGTTCCCTACACCAATGAAATCACAGGTCCGAGACCTCTGTCCAACACCACCATACCCTGCCCCACCTCCAAAAAAAAAAGCCCATAGGAAACTAAAAATGTTAGACAATTGCTTGAGGCCAGACCAGCCTGCCCAGCTGTTCCACCCCAAGGGTTCAATCCACTCACCAGGAGGAAGTTTCTCCTCTCTACCCAACAATCATCTTGTCCCACCCCAGCCTGGACCCTGCTTCATAGGCTGGACTTCCCCTATACCTTGCTCCTTGCTGAGGAATCTCCCATCTCCTCCTGTCCACATTACCATGGAACCACCTGGTGCTTTATGAGGTCCCTCCTAGCTCTAGATCCTATCCTCTTTTCCTCTGTGGTATGGAATCGACCACGAGTTCTCAAAGGTCATACTGATAGACTGTAAGCTCTGTATGGACCTACAATGTCAGAAAGGTTTCAAGTATATGCCTAGCAATGGGCTGTGTCTGAGGACCAATCTAACCAAAGTTGTTGAAAGAGATGAGTTTGGGGCTATAGCTTTTTCAAAAATTATCTACTAAGTTGCAAAGAAGTTGAGATCTTCCTCGGTAGATAGAGCAACCGTGGATCCCTGAAGTACCAAAATATTTTTTAGAACATGATACCTGATTTTCTTGGCTTGCAAACAGGCACACTCTTCCTTTGGATGTTCTGGCCCAGTTTTAACTCTGCAGTTGCTGATACCGGAGACCACCAGTACAGGGCTATAGTGAACACATATTTCTCACTAGCTGCTTGTGTGCTCACTGCCTTTGCATTCTCCAGCCTTGTGGAGCAACGTGGAAAACTTGATATGGTGAGCATGAGAATGGGCAAAGGGACAGCATAGGCTGACACAGAACTGATCCTACTTGCCCCAGTGTTTAAACTCTTTTCTAGGAGATGCTGAAAAGTATCTCTCTATGCTTCTTTCTTCTGGTGCTAGCCAGGTTGGATAGAAGCAGGGAGAAGAAAGAGATGTAATATATCTTGGGCAGTGGGGCAGTATTTGGCACTTCAGTGAAATAAGATCTTTTCAAAAGCAACTTACAATTTTTCAAGACATTAATTTCTTTAGAACATTACATTATAATTATCCTAGACTATTATATTACATATTATATTATTATGTAATATATAATAATATTATATAATATAATATTATAATATCCTAGACTACAAAGCCCATAGCACTATAGGTTTTTTGGTCAACCAGGATTGAAAAAGTGTTTCCGGAATAAAATAATAGAAAGAATGTCAGTCTTTCAGTGCTTCTCCTCATTCTACTTATTCCCACTGGGCCTTCTCAAGGCTTTCTTAACACTACTCCTGTTCTAAGCCCTAGTGATTGCCTTATGTCAGCCACCAACATGAAAATATTGTGAAAATCAGATGTCAGTATGAATACTGAAGCCTTTGGAGGGAAATCACTTTATAAACACAAAATCATAAAAACATATGAACCAAAGCTCCCCTTATTGGACATAAAAACATATTTGGCAACTAAGTGGCCTAGACGATAGAACACTGAACCTGGAGTCAGACATTTACTGACCACGTGAATGGGCATAAGACACTTAACCTCTCTCTGCCTCAGTTTCTTCACCAGTAAAATGAGGCAGTTAAACTCCATGGCCTCTAACCTTCCTTCCAGATTTAAATCTATGACACTATGACCCTTGAGAACAGATCCTATTTCAATTATTTTTCTTTGTATCCATAACACCTAGCCTTATGTTTGGTGCATAGTAGGTGCTTGTTAACTTCATTGAGTGTGTCAGAAGAAAAAGTAGTCTATTGCATACCACACACTCCAAAAGGCACTCTTGTTTCTTCAGCAGGATATCATCTCACTGCCCTTATACTTTGTGTATTCCACATAGGTTCATATTCAAAATGCAACCCTTGCAGGAGGAGTAGCTGTGGGCACCTGTGCAGACATGGCAATCCAGCCCTATGGTGCTATGGTAATCGGTAGCATTGCTGGGATTGTCTCTGTCCTTGGGTTCAAATTTCTGACAGTAAGTACGAAATAAAGTGGGACTCGGGCTTTGCTTCTCTCATCAGCATGGTGGTCATTGGCAACATTAAAAAGTGGGGGGAAGGTTGTTTGGTTTTTTTAGTCTCCGCCTCATGGATTTCTTTCCCCCCAAGATGCCCACCCCCATTTCAGGTTCTTCATGGTTTCTAGTTCTCTCTCATTTTTCTTGATGTCAGTAAAGGATATTAGACATTTACACCTTAATGTAAATACATTTTACTTAACATATTATCTTTCCTATATGGTTAGCATTTTTAAATCTTTAAGGCTTTTTTTTCTGAATTAAGAAAATTAATGCATAAGCAATATAGAAGAGAAATCAGGGTGGGAAGAATAAATCAGAGGGCCTTTACTGATATCCCTGAAGTTACCCCATCTCTACTCATAACTAGCAATGCTAAATTTATATATCGTTATACTCTGGTGCTCTGGATTCACTGGGTTTCAGATACATATGGGAGAACTAAGTTGTAACCAAATCTTTATAGTACCACACAGGAAGTCACACCAGAGTCATAATTAGTATAGGACTATAGGGCTTTGTCCCAGTGCATCAAAATTTAGAAGGCTCAAAGTCTACTAATTCTCCCAACTCAACTAAAATTGTATTAATTATTTCTATCTTTTTCACATGAATTATAAATTGATTTGAGCACAACTTTGGACTACTTACACGGTGTGTGTTCCTGGCCTTACATATCTAAATTGCTAATTATGGCTCTGTTTTGTAGACTTTCCTTCTATAGAAAGTATTTGTTGAAACTATAAAACTTCTGAACTATTTTTTATTCATTTTAGCCAATTTTTGCTATCAAACTGAGGATTCATGATACATGTGGTATTCATAACTTGCATGGCTTACCTGCAGTGGTTGGAAGTATTGCAAGCATTGTGGCAGTAGCCTTGGGAGTCGCTGATAAGTGAGTAAAGAAAATGATTGCTCTTTGTTTTCATGAAACCAGCTTTTAAGTACCTTCAAGGTAGTGGTAGGGAACTTTGCCCTCAGGGTAGTGGTAGAGAAGCCTTGAAATATCTAGTGATTGTAGTGCCTCATTGCTTAGCAATGTTAATACACATTATATCAAGAGAAGGTTTAAAAATCCACAACATTGTCTGAAGTTGCATTATTTGGACTGTCAATCATGTTACCTCTCAGCAGAGCCATAATTAGAAATCTTTGTAGCTGGGACAAGCAGTACAAACTGTATGTAAGACAAAAGAAGTAAACTGCTCTCAAATTAACAATTTAAAACAAATTCAATTGTGTATATGCAGGGGCGGGCAGGGTGGTACTCCAATATAATGAACCTCAGTTGAGAAGAAAAAGACTTCAGGCACCATAACAGTGCTGGTTGGTAGGATACCAACAATGAGCAGGGGAAGGGTGGGAAGGGCAGACCAGGGAGGAAATCACCTTGGAAGCAGCCAATGAGAAGAAGAAATGAGTGAACTGGTAGCTTCCTAATTCAAATAATTTTTCTTGGGGACTAGATGTTAAATTGTTTCATTTTTGTTTGTTTTTATACACAGCTGAAGGAATAGATGTATGGCCAGTGACTTCTAAATTTTGCATCTTTGGGCTAGAGCCCAATCTCTCCACCCTAGTTATGGCTCTGTCTCTTGAATTTCAGTTTCCTCATCTGTAAAATGGGCGGATTGTTCCTTCTGGTTCTAAATCCTATGATCCAATGATACTGCACTGTTTGCTACCACTTTTAACATTTTAATTTTATTCATATTTAACCTAGATAATCACTACTTAATACTATCAAAGATTGGCCTCTTTTTGGGTTGACTATAGCAGTCATCCCCAAAAGAGAATTGGCACTTCTGGACATCAAAAGGCAACCCAAGGCTGTTTAAATTTTTCATGTCCCCCATCACTAAAATGGAGGGGTTATGAGATAAATAAACTTGAAAACCATCCCTGAATAACTCTGAATCAAAAGTGGCATGGCATAGTATTTTATAGAAAGAAAGTACAGCAGGGAAAGGCTGCCAAAGGCTAATTATTTCTCAAGAGGAATGATTAGTTGACCACACTAGTTCTCTCTTTTTTTAATTTATTTTAGCTTTAACTTATGGAATAAAACAAGCATTTCCAAAACACAGTATAATTTTTTAAAAAAGATGATTGTAAATCATGAAACTGCAAATCTATTATGTACAACTTGCCATTCTTTTTAAATATATAATAGTCATCATGTAATCTTTTTCTTTTTGCTTCCCTCGCCCCCACTCTAGAGAGTGTGTCTATCATTAGACACAAATATATATGTATATGTATTTACATATTTACATATATATGTAAATCATTCTGTACTTATTTCTACTTACCAGTTCTTTCTCTGGATGCAAATAGCTTCTTTCTTCATATGTCCTTTATAGTTAATTTGGCTGATTATAATAGTAAAACTGACTTATTCTCTCAAAGTTGTTCTTAAAACAATATTGCTGTTACTGTGTACAATGTTCACTTAGTTCTGCTCATTTCACTCAACTAGTTCTCAAACACTACTTTCTTTCTACTACTAAAAAAACTATAGGGAAACACTTTAATAAATAAACTCTCCCCATCGCATGATGAAATATGTTGCTTCCTGCAAACAACTCATCTTCAGCATGACATTTTGATACCTGTCAGTAGCAATGACTTGTTGATTTTAAGAGATTAAGACTTTCTAACCTCATCCTTAGGTTTTGAGTGTCATCTTTGTGAAAAGTATAGTTTCTATCCATTGAACACACTGGGCATAACCTTTAACCTTTTTTTTTTCAATTCTAAGGGGGCTTCTTTCATCTTCTACCTTCAAAAAAAAAAAAAAAAAAGACTGGTTCTCCCCATCTCACCCAGAATGGAAGTGCAACAGCCACTCATGGGCTTGATCCCACTTAGTAAATGTTTGTTGAATTGAATTAACTGAAGAACAGATATCATAACTTGCATAGAGCTTATGGTCTCTGTTTTACTATTTGCTGCTGGCTTAAAGCATTACCCTTTTCCTGATCATCCTGAAGATAATCCACCAGACATTAATTGTGAGAATCCACATGGCTTAGTGGAAAAAGAAATGACCCAAGTTCAAGCCCTGCATCTGATACATACTGGCTATGTGCCTCTGGGAAAGTCTGTTAATCTCTGAGTGCCCCAGGAAGCAGTATAAAACTATAAGTTTCATAATAGTTACTAATAAGACCCCTATCCATGAAGTCATCTACAGATTTGGGACTGGAAGAGACCTTAGAGGTCATTGAGTTCAATTCCTACATTTAATAAGGTGACTTGTTCATCTGGGAAGAAGGAGGAGGAGGAGGAGGAAGAAGAAGAAGGATGGTGGTAGTGGTGGTGGTGATGGTGGTTATAGTAGTCTCTTAATACTTTCAAGTGCGGGATCAAGGTGTTTTCTTCTAACACTGACCATAAATCTCTCTGAAAACAGAATCTAAAATTAAAGAGAGTTAGGCAAAATTTTTCATTGGAATTTTTCCATCAGTATGCAATGTTGCACTCAGGACTGTAGATGGCAGCAATTACCATGCTATAGAGAAAAAGGCCTGCTCTTGAACACAAACTCTGTTTTTGTCTTTGGCTTCCTAGGACCACTATGGCCAAGCAGGCAGCTGCCCTGGGTACTTCCCTAGGAATGGCAATTGTTGGAGGACTATTAACTGGTTAGTACTATACAAATAATTTCCTAAATCCAAGTGGCTTTAAGATATGCAAAAGTCCCCTGTTGAGCACTTTTGATTACATACTTAATTTAGAAATAAGTTTTAAACCAATATTACATCAGAGGTGGTAAAGTTTACTGCTGTTGTGATATGAATACTAGTTTAGTCATATGGTTAAGAATAAAAGAGTTGAAAGAGGTCAACTCCATTCATGAAATGTGTGAAAAACTTAGAAAATAGACTATTTATTAAGTACTTACTATGTTCCAGAGACTATGCTAAGTTCTGGAGATTCAAATAAAATAAAATAAGACAGGTCCTATTTTCAAAGAGTTTATATTCTAATGAGAAAAGACTACACATAAATGAGAGCTGGGGCTGGGAAAGGCAAGGGAATGGGACATTAAATGGCATTTCTAGAGATGCCCAAGAAGTGCTATGGAAGCCTTCAAAAAAAAAAAAAAAAAGACTGGTTCTCCCCATCTCACCCAGAATGGAAGTGCAACAGCCACTCATGGGCTTGATCCCACTTAGTAAATGTTTGTTGAATTGAATTAACTGAAGAACAGATATCATAACTTGCATAGAGGTTATAGCCTCTGCTTTACTATTTGCTGCTGGCTTAAAGCATTACCCTTTTCTTGATCATCCTGAAGATAATCCACCAGACATTAATTGTGAGAGTCCACATGGCTTAGTGGAAAAAGAAATGACCCAAGGTCAAGCCCTGCATCTGATACATACTGGCTATGTGCCTCTGGGAAAGTCTGTTAATCTCTGAGTGGCCGAAGATAGCTTCAAAGACCAGGAACATATACTCAATAAAAACAAGATTTTCATTCTCCACTAGGGCCAATTCCAATCAAACTTGTGAAATAGGCAAGGTTAGCCATATAGGAGGAGCCATGGTCTTCATATAAGCCCCACATATGTCTCTCTGTAGTACTCCAAATGGGACATTGATACAAGAGAGAGGAGAGAGTTCCATTAGTGATAACAGAAAGTCACAAATGGGATCACACAGAAGAAACTGCTGTTAGCAGATGCTTTAACTCTTGTTTGATGCATATACTGTCTTGCGTTTTGGTGTATAATGTTTTATATGTCTTATCTCCTGAACTTGACTTCGAACTCTTTGAAGCCTGTGTTTTGGACAGGTAACCATGCAAAAATATTAAAACTGATTGATAAATAAAATTAGCAACCAGATACTTAGTAAGATTATCAATCAGACTCTGAAAGAGTCTGACTTGGCACTCAGGAATTATGTAAATAGTAGAGATGATTGTTGTTGTAGTATCTTAATTACTATATTCAAATATGCCTTTGTTTTCACCATTGGTTATCTTCTTTGTGACAGGTTTAATTCTAAAGATACCCATATGGGGACAGCCACCTGACCAAAATTGCTATGATGATTCTGTTTACTGGGAGGTACAGTATACTGTTTTATGATAGTGTAAAATGACACAGCTAGAGTGTTTTGTTCATCTCAAGGCCAGAATTCTTTCAAGCCACATCATTTCTCCCCATAGCCCTAGGGAGATAGGTTGATTCCTGACTTTACAAAAAGACAAACTAAGACATGGAGGCCAAGATTGAGACAGAATTCTAAATCAAGGAGACAGAATTTTATTTCTTCAAAAAAAATACTGAGATGAAAGAGAGAGTTCTAGGACAGAATGAAGATGGCACTAAAGTTGGGGGGGTAAGGGGAGATAGGAATAAAATTAGACAAGAAAGGGCCAGACAGAAAAGTTATATACACAATACCCCCTTTCTTCCCATCAAAGGAAAAAAGAATCTTGTGCTGTGATGTAATCTTAGCACTTAACACTTAGCAGCCAAGAGCACCCAGGCAGGTGGGCCAAGCATGTGTGAGGTACCTCAGTGACTACTCAGCATGATTCCAGTATTCTGTCTGTAAGGCAACATATATTGATATTTTCTTCTATAAAGCACCTATTCTTAGACAGGCACTGGAGGTGGAAAAACAGGTAAGCAGTAATATTCACGTGCCTCTCAGGGATGTGAACTAGTTACCTAAATTCAGACTTCAATTTCTCATTGCCACCAGGTGGTGCTCTTACTACAAACTTCTCCCAAGTCTGGTTTCCTTCAGGCAATGTTGCACAAGAATAGCCTCGTTCTTGCAAACACCAGGGGCCAGTCTGGATGCCTCTCAGCAATTACCCTGAGTTCCCAGTTGAACTCCACTGTGGGTAATAGCTCAGCCTGTGTTCCCTGTACTCTCAGTCTCTAACGCCTGCCTGAGGTTTACCTCAGTTTGATCTAGGATTTAAAATGTAAAGATAAGTACCACATAATATTTGCAAAATTCATCAAAATTGGCTCAATTGTCCCCATTTCCCCTTAGGATTTTTATCTCCTGACCAACATTGTGTGACCCAAAGGAATAAATTTTTTTATTATAGATTATGAACACTAGGCAAAATCAGAAATAAAGAGATAAAACATTAACACCCACAAAGAGCTCTCAGTTGCCCCGGAATTTGGTGCTCCCATTAAGATCTTCATTTTAGCCAAGTGAATAGATGCTCCCTGAGAACATTTGCAGAAGTGAGTTATCAGTTAGTTCCCCATTCAATCCTACTCTACCCCATCCTCAACATTTCAGAAGGAAAGAGAGGAAAGGGAAAGTCTCAGAGGAATTATGTTGAGTTGACCCTACCCCCACTCCCATAAAGACTGCTGCCACTTCTTGGTCCCTCAGTAGGAGAACGTCATCTACTCTCCAGAGGGTGTCTATAACCTGGGTGGGTTGTTTGTTTTGATTGTTTTTTTAAAATAGTTTTATAACTGTATTTCAATATCATTGGTTTCCTTTGTAATCCTATATATTTTGTTCTATGCATATTAAAACGTTCTTCTGAGAAGGCGTTCTATATGTTTCTCTAGACTGACAACACAGAAAAAGTTAAGAACCCCTTGCTCTATCTCCAATATCACCATCTGGCCTGGAGACCCAGTGCCTCATAAATTCCTGCTATATGCTTTTTTTCTACCCAAGCTATATCTCAAACCAATTTTCAGTATGACTTCTCTTGAACATCTCCTGTAGAGCTTGTTGTAAAGCAGTTCATTCTGTTTTTAAAATGTGCCACTGTAGGACTGCAATTAAATCACATTTCTGACAGTTCAGTTTACTTGAATCCCTAAGGCTGCACAAGCCACAGATACTGAAAATTACATGGGTATGCTAAGAAAAGCAACACCTGGCCAAGCAGGTGTTACTTATTAATGGCAAGCTATCAGCCTCTTTCTTTGCTTCTCTTTTCCACTCTTCTTCTCTCCCTTTCCTTTATCCTTCTTTCCTATGTCCCCAACAGGCCAAAATGACAAGTAGTTCAGTGTCTGTTATCTGAGTTATAGGTCGGACTGTGTTTCTGGGTGGTTAAAAAAAAAGAAGGTAATGTATTTCACACACACACACAAACACACCTCTCAAGTCCTGCATTTACCCAAATCATTCCATTTATATAACCAGTTCAAAAATTACCTTTTACCTCTAAACTGAACAAAGAGCCCCAGTTTAAAAGAAATAATTTTTAAGATACTTCAATTTGATTATTTTTTTTTTTAGGTTCCTGAAGTGGAGAGACATAACTATTATTTCTTTGAAAATGGTGACCACAGCCAGCTGCAGCCAGAGGCCGAAAAATAGTTCCATATTCTGTTCTCACCTAATTTTCTCCCACAATACTCTTTTTTTTAAAAAAAAAAAAAGAGCACTATGCAAATAATATCTCAAATTTTGAACACAGACAATAGTGAACAGACTTTATGTCCCAAAAGACCAGCAGAGGAATCTCACTGGTGCTACAGATGTCTGTTGAATTTTGGTTTACTTCTTTGCCTGAGAGGATATCACTCACAAGTCTCATGGATCCCATGCATGCTCTCCAAGACTACCACCAGGCATAAACAAGCCATACTGGGTCTTCTTATGCATGGTATTGTCAAAATTAAGGATTCCCAAGTTTTTTCATGTTTAAAGACAGTGTTTTAACAACTTTTTTATTTATTCCCAAATGATTTGTAGTTTTATTATTAGTATCTGTTGATTGAGAAAATATATAATGACAAAAGGCTACTATGAGTTCAGTAGGACTTTTAAATGAATTTGTATTTTATTGATCACAAAAGCATTTATATACTTCTAAAAATAGTACTTATATATGTGGGAAACATAATTTATTCAATCTCAGAATTTAAATTCTTTTAGATCCCATATCTGCAGTGCTCTATGTAGGAATGTTAGTGATTAAGCATGCATTGGAATAATAATTCATATATGTATAAATACACAGTTGCTTGTATTAATGAATTTTTTGTCTATAAAAGAAATAATGTGGTTGGTATTTGTCAGATTTGTAGTTTCTTGAGGTCAGATTTTCAGGGGAATTATACTTCTTTCCTTTTGCTAGAAAGATGGAAATAGTTATTCTAAAATATGTTTTTGCATATCCACTATTTTCAATAAGCACTAAAATCCAAACTAATCGAAGCTAATTTTTATGGGTTTTTTTAATAGATTAAATGATGTAACAAAGTACAAAATTTGTCTTTGATTTTCATTTTGAAACCTAGTAGCTTCTTAGCGTGTTTAGAGTCACTTAACAAGCACTTATTAAGTACTTACTATAAGGAAAGACATAGTGTATACATATAAGTCCTTTTTATTTCATTTTAATCCATTATGAAAAAAATATAAAGTTAGGCTAGTTCCTCTTATTTTTCAGAATAGAGTTAGCAGTATAGGAAATAATTTGATATTCTATGAAAATTGTCACAAAATTGTGCATTCCCTTTCATTCAGCATTCCATTACTAGATATTCACCCCCAAAGAGCTCAAGGACAGAAATTTCCTATATATAACAAAATATTCATAGTAGTATTCCTTGGGGTAGGGGAAAAAAAGTAGAAACAAAGTCAATGTCCATTGATTTTTGGAGAATGGCTATTGTTGCCTGTCCTCTGTTTTCAAAGACCAATGACATTCCATGCAAATGATGGTGTATAAAATGGTAACAGAACCATTACTGGGCTGTAAGGAAGAACAAGTGTAAATAATTCAGAGAAACTTAGAAAAGCTGCTGCTCATTGATTAAAAGAATTGCATTTTCCCCCTATTATAAGCATGTATAGTCAAGAAAAACAAATTTCCACATTACCCATGTTAAAAAAAAAAAGCCTCAATCTGCACTCTTAATCCATCCATTACCTCTCTCTCTGAAGGTGAGCAGCACATACCATCATGAGTACTCTGAATTGTGGTTGGTCATGGTGTTACGTAGAGTTTCCTAAGTCTTTCAGTTGTTTATCTTTACACTATTGTTGTTATCATATAAATTGATCTCATTCTGTTCACTTCACTTTGTATAACTTCATACAAGTCTTCCTATGTTACTCTAAAACCATTCCCTTTATCATTTCTCATAGGACAATAATATTCATCACATTAATATACCCTAACTTGGTCAACCATTCCCCATTATTGGACATCCCTTCAGTTTCCAATTCTTTGCCACCATGAAAAGAGCTGGTATAAAATACTTTTGTACAAATAGATCCGTTAAGGATTGCATTTGTAATCCTAACATTAAGATCACCCAAAGAATGAAATTTTGATGCAAACATGACAGTTTTGACATGACCCTACAAGAAAAAGTCTAATGGAGATAGAATAGGCAATAGAGGTAGGTAAGCAAAAGGGTATCTTCTATTGATCCACAAGTCTGAAAAGATGTCAGTCAGAAATTGTCAAATACATAATGCATAATGACAGGATAACCTTATGTGTAGCAAAATTTTAAGTTATTGCTATCTTCTTAAAATTTAACCTAACCACCATCTTGTGTTAGGAATCATTCTAGATGACTTTTGAAATTTGTAAAAGTGACTAGTGGGGAAGCAAGATGTTATCTGGTATCCTCCCTCCCAGATCGTGGCTAAAGCTGAAGCTGAGACCTCTCCTTCCTCTGCCTTCCATCCCCTATGAACACCCTTTCTCCTGAGGACTTTACTGGAACTTAATGTTTACTCCAAACTTTCTATGATTCTGGTTCTATCAACATGATAATTTATATAGGACCCATAAGGTGCAACCAAGTTTCCTCTGCCTTTCAGAATATTATTTTTGTGCAAGGTCACTCCAGTTTCAAGGACTTTGCAAACTTAGTCTAAAGCCTAGGATTAATATTGATTAAACTGATTGAACATCTCATCATTTTAAGTGGTTTAAATTAATCACTTGATTGATTTACTTAACCACCACACTTAAATATATTATATCTTACATCTTCTACCAAGGGACCAAGGAACAATATATTTTCTTAAGGGCAAAAACTCATTTGTTTCCCTAGTCAAAGTACAGCAACACAATGTCTGGCATGTAATAGGCATTTAATAAACATTTGTTTAATTAAATTGTTCTTTTCATAAGATATACTGTTTGTATTAATCAGTTATCTGAATTCAATAGGCACTTATTAACTGCCCACAATTCACTATGAGGCTGGAGACATAAAGACAAAAATAAAATAATCCCTATCCTCAAGGAACTTACATTCTATTGGGAGGATGTCACTTTTATAAATAGGTAATTAAATATAAAGTTATTTCCTTGTTGGGGACAGGATCTACCTGGAAAATCTCTAAACTATTAGGGGTCAGTACGGGTAAAGGCAATGACCTTCTCTTAATCATCTGTCTTTGATTGTACCCTGGACTTGCTTTGCTGCTGAGTAAACATTTGCTGAGTCCCTGGACTTGTAGTCACGAGTAAACAAAGAAGTCTTAGAATAGACAATTAAGCTTCACCCTAAAGCCATGCTCCTCAGGCATATCATCTAGTGAGAACCTTGTATCTTTGGCTCTTGCTCTTGGGATATTGTAAATCATTATTCACTTTTATGTATAAAAGTTCAAGCCTCACTAGAAATAAACAGTTCTGTTGATGGAGTATCATTCAGTTTCAGAAGTCGAGACCTTTGCCTCTTTTCACCAAAAGGAATTTGGCTCCCATTTGTTTACAGACCCCAGAAGACCCTTAAACTTTTAGATTCCTTATACATGCCCCTTATCTCTCTCTGAAAGCCTTAGCCTTGCCTTTTGATCTTATTCAGATGCACCTTTGACCCTAGCCCTAAAAAAAATCTGGCTCCCCTTTGTCTATGGTCCCAGAAAACCCTTAAACTTTTAGGTTCCTTATCTACTCCCCTTATCTCTCTAACTCCACCTTCTGATCCTTTCAAACTTCTACCTTTCAGTTCCCTTCATTATCTATTCCCATTGTCTATTCAATCTCTCAGACCTTCCAATTGGAATTCTCATCTAGACCCTTTTCCCAGCCACCTCTTCTGGCCACCCAAAGTTACTTTAGTGTATAAAAGATCTACCCTGGCCCCCATTCAGATGTGGAGAATTTCTCATGCCCAAAAGGCTGAGACTCTCATGCTGCTTGTCCCTACGGGTGTTACTAAAGTTCAGGTTCCTTGGGAGTCTGGCCTATATGATTTATCTCTAATAAACTTTTTCTCTGTCTGGAAGAAGATTTGAGTTGAATTCTTTCAGTCAGGGTCAGGTGCCGCAATCTTTGGGTCCATTCAAACACCCCAAACCTCTAGACCTTTTCACTCTGGCTGATCACCCTTGACCCGCCTAGCTCAGCTTTCTCCTGTATATTTTTCTATAACCGCGTCATCCTAAGCCAGCTGCTGGCAGTTGGCACCCAAACAGGGACCTGAGAGAAAGAGACGAAGCGGCCCTTACCTAGAAGGAGCTCTGATTATTTGAGGAAGGTGAGGGGATCTTTGTTCTTATGTAACTAGGTTAATCCAGGGATCTTTTTACTTTTATTTTCTGAGATGGGTCAGATACAGTTTAAAGATCGAGAGCAATATCTACAAATGTTAAAAAGGATTGTGAAAGACAGAGGGTTTCATATTACTAAAGACCAATTAGAGGATTTCCTCCGATGTGTTGATATTGTTGCCCGTGGTTTCCAAAAGAAGGAACCTTAGATCTGGATAGGTGGGAGGTTATTGGGAGGCAAATGAATGAGAGATTAAAGGAAGACCGCCCTGAGAATTTTCCTGTACATGCTTTTTCTGTTTGGAATATATTGAAAATTTGTTTAACTCCTGAGACAGAAGTCCCGATGGTAACTAGAATCATTAAACATGGTGTTGCCGTAGCCACCGAGACTGAAAAGCCTCCCCTCCCCCCTCCACCTCCACCAGACCCTTTTCCTGATCATATGTTTCAAAAGGCTTCTGCTGCAGTTGCTACAATGGCCACTTGCTCATCACCCTCCATAAATCCTACTTATACTCCAGTTCAGAGAGCCATCCTTGGAGCATTACAATCTGAAGAAACAGTATCATCTGAGTTCAAGCTCTTCCTGTCCTTGAAATCCCTGATCCAGGAAATCCTGCTAACATTATAAGACAACATGAAACCTTAAATTTCAAAATACTAAAAGAATTTAAACAGGCAGCTTCAGCTTATGGCCCTACTGCTCCTTATGTCATGATTTTATTAGATAATATTGCAACTACTGTTCTTTGTCCTTTTGCCTGATATACCATTGCTAATACATGTTTAGAAAGGGAGGATTTCTTGCTTTGGAAAATGAATTATTATGATAACTCTATGAGAAGCTAATTCCAGCTTTTGGATTCTCCCTGTCATTACCATGTATCTGTTCTGTGTTTGTCTGTGTGGTATGAATGAGTGTCCTGTGTGTAATTTGACACCCTTTGCAGC